TTAAATGCAGTAGCATGGTAAGAAGACATTCAGAGAAAAAAGTATTAAAATGAATCAACAGTGTCACACTGAAGTCAAAAAGACTAAAGTAATCTGTTATTCAATTGTGTCTGATTCTTCATGATTCCACACGGGTTTTCACAGTAAAGGTACTGGAGTGGTTTGTCATTTCCTTCTCCAGTGGGGTCACACAGCTAGTGGGTGTTTGCTGCCAGATTTGCCACATAGCTGCCTCTGAATCAACCTGAGGCTGCTTCCAAAGAATGATCATCCAGAATGGGAGAGATGACAGTTTCACTATACTTTTCACATTTCTAGTATCATGTTCTGGTCTGGGCTCTCTTTTTTAAGGATGATATTGATGTGGTAGAGGATGTCTGTAAGAGGGCAATCAGGATGGTAAGGAGATTAAGGAATGATTGAAGGAAGTAGAAGGATGTGGCTGCCCCAGCTGTGTGCTGCCTAGAACCATCAGGATCACTGATTTGCCCATCACTTTCTCTGATCAAATGAGAAAAATATGAAAGTCCTATACAAATCCTAAAGCATTATGTAAATGCTAGTTAATTGTTATTATCACCTAATTGCATACTTGGTTAACTGCTACCTCCCAATTCAATGAGTAGCAGACTTTCACCTTTGCTTTCCTAAATCCTGTGTTACTCTCTGCTAGGGCATAAATCTCCTTTCCCACACACACACACACACACACACACACACACACACACACACACGCATAAAGCTCTTTTCCATATACACACACACAGAAAGAGAGAGAGAGAGAGAGAGAGAAACAAAAACTTGTTGACTTTAAGAGGGAATTCTTGTTCAGATAAAGGTTGAAATACACGACCCCACAGGCTGCCATACACTGGATTTCTTTCTTGGCTAAGTTATGCATGGCAATCCTGTAAAATGAGTTGTTTGATAACTAAAAGGTATTCATTCTCACGTGAGGAGTTCTGTCTTGGTGACAAAGTTTGGAAGTTTTTGTTTATTTATGGAGGAGTCTTATATTGCTTCTTTTCAGATATATAATACTCTCAGTTAGGCTCTAGACATTTTAGCCAAGGACAATCAAAACAATTCCCTTCTGTAGAAAATCCATACCTGCAGGAAAGCCTGCATTGTCAGGTCTCTGATGAAATCCCCAACACAGCTAATTACCTGGTAGGAAGGAAAAAGACCAAGATGAGCTACCCCAGTGGAACTTGATCTCGTAGTTATAGTATTGGAAATCTCAGTGTTATAAAGCGGATGCTCAGAACACTAAATCAGCCATCTGGCACGAGGAGCTGACTTTCTCCCAAATAGCATACATGTTTCCTTCATAATTAATTGACTGCCATCATGTTAACAAAATCATAAACCTATCAGAAATGGACTACAGCTGCTTCTTAAGTCTGGACAGCATTCACTTTACAGCAGCAAGTTTGGGCTGTTGACAGATGTATTTACTTAAGGAAAGAATATGTGTACAAACTCTTGAAGATTATTGAGCCATTGCAGGTGCCCCAATCCCTATGGCACAGTACATGAAAATCTAGACTTAGCATCAAGAAGGTCCAAGTTTACATCTCAATTTAGTCATGTGGTAGCTGTGTGATCCTGAGCAAGCCACCTAATATATTTGAGCCTCCCTTTTCTCTTTTGTAAAATAGGAATACTAGCACCTGTATTACAGGGTTGTCATCAGGTCCAAATGAGATATGTATGTAAAGCAATCAACCAATCAACAAGCATTTATTAATCACCTACTGTGTACTAGGAACTATGTTGGTGCTGGGGATAAAAAGACAAAAATGATGTAATCCTTTGCCCTTAAAGGGCTTAAAGTCTATATTTACTTATATCTTAACTTGTTATACATGTGAAAACTAATATAATTATTTATGACCAAACCAATGTTGTACCATTTTTTTGTATTACTAAGAAGTGAATCTCCAACTCAGTTCCCATAAATGTGGCTCTTCGGGCTGTGGGAGCCCTTTACATTTAAGAATTCTTACCTTCCCAAGCTGAATCTCATTAAGAGAATACTTTTCCCCCAGTGGAATTTTTCCTGGATGTTTCCTTCTCTATTATAAAGGTTACCTTTCATACCATCCTCAAGAGGGTTGTTGTGACGATGAAATGAGATTCTCTCTCTCTCTCTCTCTCTCTCTCTCTCTCTCTCTCTCTCTCTCTCTCTCTCTCTCTCTCTCTCTCTCTCTCTCTCCTCTCTCTCTTTCTCTCTCTCTCTCTCTTCCTTTCTCTTTCTGTCTATCTCCAGAGATAGACACACACAGATCGAGAGACACAGACAGGGATAAAGAGACATTCATGGAGAATGCATTTCACAAACCTTATAGGCTTTATGAATGCCAGTTATTAGCGTATATTTTTCTTTTGCAGGCTGAGAGGTGGTAGGGGAGAAGGCAGTTTTGTTACTTTCATTTTGTCACTTGAGAATTATAGAATCATAGATTTAGAGCTGATCAGGACCTCGAAGATATGCAATCCAACCTTTACCTTATAGAGTTAAAGAACTGAAACCTAAGGGCTTGCTTGAAGCCAAACAGATAGTGAGGATCAAAGGCAGGATTTGAATATAGACCCTGATTCCAGAGCCAAGATTCTTTCCACTAAACTATAATTCTTCCTACTTAGAACTTCCTCAGATGAAGGAGAAATACACATTCAGGGGATGTTTTATGGTGATGCATTCTATAATATTTAGTTTGGTAATTATTATTTTGCCCAATATCTCTTAGTGTTGTTTTCCATTTAAGATACATACATGTTCTATGTCTCCTCCATTTCATTCCTCTTTTTTCTTCCCTTTCTTTCCTAATTTTTTTAACCTATCGCAACAGTCCTACTCTACTGATATACTTTATACAAAGCAGTTGTTAGGTACCCTGTGAAATAGAGACATTCATTCTCTTTTTAAGGCTCACGGGAATTAAAATCGGTTGGAGCAGCTACTCTGTGGACAATTTTGATTCCATGGTGAGCAAGCTAAAGGGTGCTTTTTCATCTTGCAGAGATTCTTAATCTGAGGTCTGTTAACTTAAAAAAAAATTTTGATAATTATTTCAATATAGTTGATTTCTTTTGAATCCTATGTATTTTATTTAATGCATTTAAAAACGTTATTTTGAGAAGAGGTCCATAGGCTTCATTAGACTGCTAAAGGGATCCATGACACAAAATAGCAAAGAATCCCTGGGGGGAGAGGGGGAAGAAAAGGAGGAAGACAGACAGACAAAGACAGAGAGGGAAGGGGGAGGGAGGGAGGAAGAGAGAGAGAGAGAAAGAGAGAGAGAGAGAGAGAGAGAGAGAGAGAGAGAGAGAGAGAGAGAGAGAGACAGAGAGAGAGAGAGACAGAGACAGAGACAGAGACAGAGACAGAGACAGAGAGACAGAGAGAGATAGGTTAAGGGGGCAGGGAGAGAAAGACAAAAAGGGGACAGAGAAATAGAGAGGAAGGAGGGAAGGGAACAGAGAGACAGAGAAGTAGAGGACATAGGGAGGGTGGGGGAGAGAGAGACAGAAAGAGAAAGAAAATAATACCCTTGGCTCAAAGAAATTATCTAGAAGTCTTTCTTCGTAGGCTATCCTGACAGAGTTTTATTCGGATTACTCTGTCTTCCCTAGTCCTATTAGGTATAGTGCAAGATGCATTTTTTTTCAATAAGTCTTCTATTGATCATAATAAGACTATGATTACTGCTTCTGTTGTAGGTGCCTTAATTAATAGCTATCCTTTTTTACATGCTCCCTAAAGTGATTTTATCAGGATGCTATAAATCAGATCAGAGAATAAAGCCTTCTTCAATCTGTTTATAGTCTCAGGACATTTCTCAGGTGGGAAGCATGCAGCACAATGAGTTCCTTTAATGCCAGGTGGGATTGCACAAGATCAAGAGAAATGCCATTGTCATTGGAGGCCAGGAAAACCTCCTCAGCTCAACCACACAGAAAAACTGAATGAGCCCATCCTAGCTAGATCTTTATAATACAGAATCTGACTATGCAATAACAGACTAATGGAGGGTGCAGTATGTAGTCAGTAGTATTTATTGATCAAATAAGTAATATTCAATTTCAAATATTGAATGCTGGGCAGGCACCTAATTAAATTCTCAAATTACCATGACAAACTACATAGCATAATATTACACAGAAGTAACAAAGGGTACTGAATGAGGAACCAGAGGACCTGAGTTCTAGACCCATTGTGCTCTAAGTCATTTAATCTGTGCCTTCTAGTTTTCTTCACCAGTGAAATTGGGGCATTAATATCTGGGCTAGTTTCCTCTTTGGACTACTGCAAGGATCACGAGATAATGTCAACTGAGCTTTGAAAACCACGAAGCCTCGTACAAATGGAGTTTAATGTACTTGTCTGTAAAGTGAGCCCTTTTCAATGTATCTGAGCTACCTTTCAAATAAGCTATCTTTGTTGTTTGTCAATTGGGTCCACTCTTCATGACCCCATTTGAGGTTTTCTTGGCAAAGATACTGGAGTGGTTTGCATTTCCTTCTCCAGCTCATTTTACAGATGAAGAAACTGAGGCAAACAGGGTTAAGTGACTTGCCCAGGGTCACATTTGAACTCATCAAGATATGTCTTCAACTCCAGGAGTTCACCTTCAATTCTATCCACTGCACCAGCTAGCTGCCCCTGTTATCTTACCCCTTTTTTATTTCTCTTCTCAAACTGATTGGGGTCAAGATTTATGATGGGGAGAAAAACGGTTCTCTCTTTTCCAGCCTACTTAACCCCCTTGATTTCCTTGGGGCTCAGCGTACAGTAATAAAGACTTACCTCATGGGGAAGCCACGAAGCTCACAGATTAATATGCAGCAAAAATAGAAAGGCAAAATACATGTTCAATGATAAGAGACGATCTTTGTAACTGCTAAAGGCTTTTTGTTAGGTGATTTCAAGTGAGAAGCATCTTGGGGGCAGGGGAGTAAATGCCAAACAACACCGATCTTTATTTTTTTCCCATACTCTTTTATTGCAAAGGTACATTTAAAAAAATACACAGACATTTTACCATTTACAGATTGCAGATACAGATGTTCTAAAAGATTTAATTCTATTTTGTTGCTTTTATTATACCTGTCACCCCTGATATCACAAGTAGTTCACTCATACTGATATCAACTTAAAAAAAAGAGGGACAGGGAGGCAGAACCTACAATATATTCCATCAACAGAAAAGACTAGTTGTTTAATTATAAATATTTTATATTCTGTACATTATTGCATTAGGGAGCCACAAAATTATGTAGCATCATTACAAATGAAAATAGGTTAGAAATGGAGGAGAAATTATTTATGTATAAATACATGGTTCATTGTCTTCTTGCAGAACACACATGAGCTGAGATAATGTGCATTTAGGAAGCTCAGGTATTTTTTTGTTGTTGTTTGTACATTGCTTAGCAACTTAAACTAGTGAGGAAGCGTCAAAATAAGTTAAACAAATAACAAACAGGTAATAATCATAACTATAGTATATGGCTTTCTATTTCTTAAAAATATTTCTAAATAAAACATGAAATAAAATACTTCATTATCTTGTTTTTCTTTTAAAAAAATAAAAAAAAATACCTCAAAGCTGCGTCGCTTCCTAACATTTACACAGCAACTAAAATGTTGAATTCAGACAGGAGATACAGGTCTAGTACTACACAAGGTACAACAAGACTTAGGTCTAAAACGGTACACGATCCCTGTCAACAACAGTACACGGGAAAGAAAACATTGGTAATCCATTCATAGGATGTATGTTATCCACAATTAAGCACTTTTATTAATCTATTTTTTTTCCCCACATGACTATGCCCAGTTGGATTCCAAAGATTTATTTACAGAAGCAAAAGGAAGACCCTAGTTTTCAAGTCTGTCAGGAAAATAATCCATATTGTTTTCCAGTTAGCTCACACCCATGGAAATATAATCAGAGAATTTGGATGATGGAACTTTTCTGACCAACTCATTTTCAGGAAACCAAATGTCTCAGGACATAGAATTTAAACAGGGTTGGAAGGGAGGAGGAGAGCTGGACCAGACCTTAAGAGGTACAGACTCCTAAATGACAGTACCTGATCCTTGAGTGCATCTGGGGATGAGGGGGAGTGGAGGGTGCAAGTTTTACTGTATTCTGAGGGAAGTCTTTCAAATTATCCAACCCTCCCAACCCCCCTGCCTTTTTTTTTGCTTCTTTTCTTAACTTTTCTTAACTTTCCTACTGGCCATAACAACCTTATCATTTTTGAGGATTAATATGGAGCAAAAAGAATCGATGCAGGAGTGGCTCGGATGGGCCCATGGCCTGTCCTCAGGAGAGCTGGTGGTATGGCGGGAGCCTGGAATAGTGACGTGGATGGCCGAGGAGGCAAGGACAGGGCAGATGAGACAGCTGCCGCAGCGGCCAGAGGAGAGGAGAGGAAAGCCGGTGCCAGGGGCTTAATCATATCTTTCTGGAATGCAAGTTTTGCCTATGGAGGGAGGGAAAAAAAGGAAGTGGGGGGGCAGTATTAAGGAAGAAGAGAATGTTGCTTTGAAATGACAGCAATATTGACACAAATATATTTTCCCAAGTAACATATTAATAGCAGAAAGCTTCTTCAAACTGTTAAAATCTTAACTCCAGACTCAGAACTCAAGAAACAAGGATGTTTCATATGCTTGGCTCTTATGGCTCCTGGCATAGCTTAACTTTAATTTGCTTTTACTTCACCCTTTTTTGGTGGTCTTTGCCTCTGGGCACTAGAGTATGGCAAAGTCTCCTCTGAATAGTAGGAGATACTCAAATACTCAAGCTATTTTATGGTGCTGCTTAGCAAGAAAAACAAAACACTATCATTCCACACAGAAGATTCTTTGCTTAGACTTCAGAGCTCAATTAAACTCCCAGGAGTCTTCTTGACCCATAATGCAACTCACTGAAACTTTCTACAATATCTGAGTGACATTCTATTGAACTACCTAAGTAAAAAGTTTCAACACATGGGAATTTTATTGGCATTAAAAAATGTGATCTATGACATTGGGGAGAAGAGATATATGATAGGTAAGTCAGTTTAAAGTTATTTCAATTTAGAAGAAAATGCATACTCCTCAAAATTGGGTACAAATAGAAATTAAGTTCAAACTATTTTAATAGTTTATTAAATGAATATTTGAGTTGAAAGAGAGCTTAGAGATGTATATGAATCACTCAAACCCTAATTAATGTAGCTATCTTGTAAAACCTACATTTTCATGCATCACTTTGCTCAATGCAATGTACACCTGTATACATTATCAGAAAAAGGGCAGATTTGTAGACAACAGACCTATTGCCACCAAATGGGCAAATCACCTCTAGGGAGCCCTTGGGAGGCTGGAAAATCCATCCCTGTATATTTATATGGCACCTAATTTCTGGAAGTCTTAGGCACTTTTGCAAAATAACTGAGAACCTAATATCTTGAGAGGTTAGAAAAGCTGACTATCAATATGCATGGTAGAAACCGACAGTGAGAGACACTCAAACACCCACCTCATCACACACGGAGTAAGGCGAAGAGACAGAAAGGGAGGCAAGGGGAGATAATTAAAAAAAAAAAAGGTGGATTTCTGTTAGAGTTCACAGCGATTCCATTAGGTTTAGCAAGCTCTAGGGTTCCCAAGGCATCACTTGCCCTAGCTCTGTTGACATTACTTCTCCTCTTTATATGCTAGTGAGTGGCATTGCTCCGGGTGCTGGAAGAGGTTGGGGTGAAGGGCAGGGACAAGAGTCCTTGGAGAATTCTGTCTGCACCAGCCCCACAGGCTTTAGCTTGCCTCACCCTGGTAAGAGCTTCTCTCCAGAAGATCAAGGAACTGAGCAATCACCCCCTTGTGTGAAAGCTTTTCTAGCTCTTTGGTTTTAAAGTATGGACTGAACTGTCCATAAGTGATCTCTATGATGCCACCGTATCCATCCTCATTCCACTCAACTCCCCCAGCCACGGCTGCAGAGCATGATGATATGCAGCTAGTAGTACTCACGGCTAGAATACTTGGGCTTCGCTGGAGTTTGTTGTAAGGACTATATTTCGGTTTCATGGGCTTCCCTGCTACTCTGTCCTTGTGCCTTCTGCTAGAAATGTGCTGAAAGGAAATTCAGATAGATGCATTAGCCATTCTCTTAGTTTTTTTTCCTTAGGGACAGATGAGCACTCACATCCAGTTCTCCTAGGAAGCGACCCCCCCCCCCGGAAAAATCTGAAAATTCAGAATTCTGTCTCACACCACAATTATGAGTCGGGAACATGTTGTACAGAGAACTAGGCCTTAAGACATGCCTTAGAAAACGAAGAGGTAAGTAGAAGCCAAATACAATACAGGCTGAGGCCAAAGAGAGAGTTTGAATCGACCTTGGCAGACATGATTCAGTCCAAACCCCTCGTTTTACACATGAGGAAACTGATGGGGTTGGGATCTGGGCCCCAGAAAGGAAAAACCCTGGACTTTCCCATAGGGCCAGATCTCTGGTGTTCCCCTGAGGCTATAATCCCATCAACTGTCCTTTCATTGTGGCTACACCCAATCTCCCCTCCATAGCCTTACCTCCCTATGGCCCCTGGCCATTTCCCACTTAATCCTAGCTAGGCTCCATGGTCCAGGTCCCAAGAGTTCTGTTCACTCCAGCTTACTGGCCACTCCCATCCAGATCTCCTTAGGCCCCTCCTCCCATCACCCCAAACTACTTAGCCACTCCTAGATCCCTCCCACAGGCTTTCTGTATATAAGGTCCATCTTGTCTCCATTAAGATGCTCAGGTTCCTAAAATCTAGCCACTGCTTGGATTCTTATAATCTAGCCAATAAGCCAATAGCTTACTAATGTTCAGACTCCTTAAGAGTCTGCCTAATATGACAGATATTCTAATTAACCTTGTCTTTGGTTGAAGGAAGGTTTGGGTCAAATTCTTTTGGACAAGACTTGGGTGTTGTGATTGTGGGGTCCCAGGGCCCCTGAACCCCTAAACCACAACAGAAACCACAACCCAGAGAAAGAGGTGACTTGCCCATGGAGACAGAGTCATATTCAGGGTAACTTTACCTGCTTAAGTTGAATTTCCGAATTCACATGAACATCACAGATTTCACAATGAAACGTTTTGTTCTGCAATCCTGAACCCTTGTTGCCATTCTGAATCTTTAACCTGGATCCAGGTCTTGGATAGGACTTAATTGGACCAGCCCCATTGCGAGCTTCGACCATTGTCTTGTGTTTGGATCCTAAAGGGCCACGAAATGTACTTGTGTAACCATTTTTAATAAGCACAGTGAAGCTGACCTTAAACTTTATTTTCAGGTTAGAAAATTCTCCGTCTTAAATGACATTAGCTAGAGCAGCCTGATCAATTGGCTGCCTCGGCTTTGTTGTCACATTTTTCCTAAAAGAGCTGACTCCTTTACACCAGAAAGCCGAAATGTTTCTAACGTCTAAGCAATGACAGACAATCAGGAGCTTCAGCAGAAAAAATGTTTGCACTTGTCATAAGCATAATTTAAATTCAAGAGACAGATGCTAACCTGTGTTATGGGCCTCTAGCTGTGACAGAGAGTTCACAGCCACTTTGCATAGAGAACAGTAAAGTAATTTTTTGGCTTTTTCCTCTTCTGATTCAGAAACGGCACTGGGAGCTCCATTTGTGCTCTTGGAGGACGAGGTCACGGCTCCCGGGGGCAAAGGGGTGGTAGCTCCAGGTTTGGGTAGAAATAAACCTCCATCAGCGCTTGAAGGTTGAATGGAACTATTGGCTTTCAACTTCCCTTTATCTTCTACTAAAAGAAATGTAGATTTGTGTCATTACAGTCACAGAAGAAAATGCAAATGTGTTTGAATCACATCCAAGGAATTTAAAATGGAATTTTAAAAAATTGTTTGTACTTAACCACTGAATTTTGGTTCATGTAACTTGAATGGGACTGAAAATAAACTATCTTATATTTTAAAATAGCAGCTCCATGTCATCAAGTTCTAAATTAATACAGATAAAGATCAAGGGGTTTTTTTTTGTTAGGGAAGGGTGGTGGTGATTAATGACCTTGTTCTTCCACTTGAATCAGGCTGTGGTAACAACTTTGTCTGATATCACAAAGCTATAAGCTCTACTCCAGTGTGTTCCTAACTAGAAATGAAAACCATTGTCAGCCCAACCTAATTCTCTTCTCAGGGCTTCAGTATCTGTCTCGTTGTATGACATGATAATAACATGAAACTGGTCATTAGGCAACGTTAGCTTCATTTGACTATTTAACTTTTAATTAACACATGAATATAAAGTTAAAACCTCAATTTTGATACTGTGTTAAAAATCCAATTTTTCTGGAGTTGGAGGAAGGAACAGGCATCATTAACTTTGGTTGTGATTAGTTAGATTTTCACTGCTATCTGAATGACAACCGAATTTATCTAAAAATACAAAAGGCAAGGCCTCCAATTCATCCTATTTATTAATTACTGCCTATCTAAATTTAAGTATCAAATAATGACATTGATCATAAGTAAAGTGATGAGGATTAGCCAAACCATTCACAAACATCTTGGCATTTTGATTGTGCAACTTTTAGAAGCTTATAATCCTCAATCTACATGTGATAGCTGCATGAGAGGTCAGAGTGACTTTTACAGAATCTGCCTCCAACCAGGCTCAATTGTGATTAAAGGTGGGCCCTATTCATTGGCTCGTTTAGTACACAAACTGGAGCCTCTGCCACCCAGCAGCAAAATCCAGTCATGTGCCCATATCCAACTGAGCTGGTGCTTCTGGAAAACATCGATGGAAACGCTGATAACAGTTCATTAAGTGAAAGAGGGAGCATTAAAGTTCAAATTGCATATTTTAGCAGCAATAGCTAAATCTGATCTGAGCATTGTTGGCCTGGTAGATTAAGGATGACAGAGTAAAAGGAGTAACGAAGGTGACTTTCAGCAGGGTGTATATTTGTGAAGGCTCTACAACATGGCAAACCTAGAGTTGAGGCAGTGGGAGAGAAGATTTCAACTAAAATCTAAAGGAACACTGAATGGATAGAAACCTGAGGTTTTTCCCTAAAGCTGGCTTCCACAACCTGATTATCAATCAGCAAAAGGGAACAAGCAATTCCCTTCAGCCACGGGCAATCATTCTTTCGGGATGCCTTCTGGTACCCAGGAAAAGGTCACAGGACCCAGGTGTAAAAAAGATAGTATACCTTTTGTAGACAACAGTATCTGTATCCATTAGTTCATCCTAACCTACATGGTAAGATAAGGCAGATCTGTTGGACTACAAAGCTTTTGGGGTCTGATTCTCTCTTTTCTACAAGTTTCCCCTACAAGAATTTCCACCTTACAGAATGAACAAAGTAGGAAGTGTATTCAGTGATATAGTACCTTCACATCTGTAGTTAGGGAACTGGGGCTCTCCGTTCTTAAGTCTTAATGCTGCTGCCTACTGAATCATTTTTTTCTCCTGTCCTGATTCCTGTCCCTTTCTCCACCCGTCCCCAACAGATGGCTCAGACTTGCTTCTGTCACAGTCTCTTGTTCTACCTTCCTCTTCTTTTAGTGCTACTTGTGGACTCTGCTTGACATGGATGGCTCTCCTTTCAATATGTAGTTAATGGGAAAAGGAAATTTGCTACAGATTTTCCCCCCTACAATTTAATAAATATTCATTTGCATTCCCATTAAGTTCAAGGTACCTTGTTCTGTGGGTCAACGATACCTGTTGTGTGACTTGAACAGGTGACAACCTTACGATTCTTTTAAGTTGTTTTTCACTGTAAGCTGAAGAGATGAACTAAATTATTTCAAAAGTCTTTTCCATCTCTAGAATTCTATGATTATCTATAGTTTCTATGGTTTTCTGAAAACTACCCAGCCCTATACCACTAGTCCCTAATCTTCCTTCTTCCTCCCCCCCTTTCCCCTTTGCCTTTGGAGCTCTCTTTCACCATTAACAAACTTCTCTTCATCATTGGATCCTCTCACACTCCATGCATTTCCTAAATTCATTAAAACCTAAATTTCCCTGCCCGCTCAACAGCTTTGGCAGTCTTTTCTGATGCTACCTGTTCATTTTTTTTTCTCGTAAGAGTCAGCTTACTGTTCGACATCTTTTGTTATGGCACCAGCACTCAATAATTTGTCTTCCTTTGAAATTCATACACCCAGCTCCAAATTCTCGTCACTGTCATGTACCAAGCTTTCTTACTAACTTCAGCACCTGGCTGTCTTCTCTATCCTTTTCCCTGTCATCATCTTTGAAAAGGTCCATATCTACAGTGATTATTCCTTTGCTCTTTTCTCTCTTTATACTCTCTGCCTTGGCCATTCTATCCATTCCCAAGATTTCGATAAGCAATACTATACACAAGACTCAAATGTCTATTTCCATTTTTATCCTCTTTCCAGAGCTCTAGGCCCTTGGCTCCAAGTGCTTATTGGATATCTCTACCTGGATGTCTGGCTGCATCCTCAAACTCAATATCCTAAACTCATCATCTTCCTCCCCAAACCTCCACCTCCTTTAAACATCTCTATTTCTATTAACTGCCTTACTATTTTTTATGTCAACCAGGTCTGAAACCTCATCAATACCTCTGATTCTTCCATCTCTTTATGTTGTCAGATTCTGTTGATTCTGCCTCCACAATCTCCATTCCTTACTTTCTATGCCATCCCTGCAACCATCCTACTTCAGGTCCTCATTACTTCTAATCTTCCATGTGGTCTTCCTCACTTCATTCTATCCCCTCTCCAATCCATCAGTGACACTGCTTCTAAGATAATTTTCCTCATGCAATGCTGTGATCATGTCACTCTTATGTTTAAAACCTTCAGTGATCATTGCCCATAATCTAGAAGAATGGAGGGAAGGTTTTGGATAGTAGTGGGAAAGTGAAATGAGGTATGGGTATCTCATTAGATAAGTAGATTTTTATCAATGTCACTATCTATCAAGTGTCTACTATGTGTCAAGAACTGTTCTAAGTGCCAAGGATACAAAAAGAGGCAAAAAGACAAGTCTCTGCCCTCAAGGAGCTTACCATGTAACAGAGAAGACAACATGCAAATGAATATATACAAAGCAAGCTATATGCAGGGTTAACAGAAAATAATTAAGAGATGGTAGGTACTGGAATTGAGAGGGGTTGGGGAAGGCTTCCAGTAAAAGATGGAATTTTAGTTGGGATTTAAAGGAAGCCAGGGAGGCTGTAGTCAAAATGGAGGAGAGAGAGCATTTCAGGCATGGAAACAGCCAGAGAAAATGCCCAGCGCCAAGAGAAATGGAGTGTCTTGTTCATGGAACAGCCTGCAGAGTATATGTTGGGGAGTGAGATTTAAGAAGACTGGAAAGGTAGGAGGGGGCTAGGTTATGAAGACCTTTGAATGCCAAACAAAATGTTTTCTATTTGCTCCTGAAGGCAATAGGGGACCACTGGGATTTATTTAGTGGGGGATAGGGGGCATGGAGTGGGGGGGAATGTGTGAAATGATCAGACCCTTGCTTTAGGAGAATCACTTGAGGTTTTTTTTTTTAAACTGCTGATTCAGGTCAGCAGCCTTTGTGCAACTCACAGTCTTCCAGAGTTTTCTATAGGCTAAAGCACTAAGGAGTTCAGTGCCTTACCAAAGGTCACATGGTCAGTATATGTCAGATACAGACCATGAAGCCAGTTCTTCCTGGCTCTAAGGCTAGCTTTCTGTCTCCTGTGCAGTGTTTGTCTAAATTCAGATGACTAAGGTGAAATAAGAATTTAGATATGAAAAGAGTAGACGCTACAAATTAGGAAGAAGATAACTGTACCAGTAATTCATAGGAATCAATAACCAAAAAGAGAAAAAGAACAATAAAACCCATGCCCTTGGATGACTATATGCAAATGCACAAAGTATACCTAGCAAACAAGGTGAATTAGAGATCCTAATAAGCTTATATTACCATTGGTGAAACAGGGTGGGACTCATGACTGGAATTTGACTCCAGAAATGTGTAATTTACCTCAGTTAAAAAGGAAGATTCCAATTTTATACTAAAAATGTTAACAATAAAACAGAAAATTTAATTTAAAAAAATCTATAGAAATGGTGACAAAAGACTCTAAAATATAATAATTCAAGGAAATCCAAAATGCTGAAGGAAAACAACCTAAAAAAACCTACTGGAGAATATTTGAGTAAGAATCAAAAGAGGGTGATTTCTCCCCCTTTTTATACCCCCACCATTCAGATGTGTGTATTCATATGCAGACCACCTAGAGAAGGAAAACCTAGATGAGTTTATGAAACATGGTGCAAACACAACACAAAAAGATGTTATTGTAATGTTGAGAGATTATAAATATCTTGGACTCTTTCTTCTTCCCAAAGCAGAAAGCTCAAAAAATCTATGATGTGCCTCCATGAAAATCTCAGACTTCAAAAGGCAAAAGAAATACCAAGAAAGACTGCAAGTCACAGCCCATTTCTGATCTATAAGGAGGATTTTGTTGTTGAAGTAGAAATGGTAAGAACCTATCTTGGTGTGTGGCGGGAGAGTGGGAAAGAGCGGAAGGGACCAGGGACATAAGTGACCACTTTATCACAGAGTTCGTTTTAGAGAAAGAGGGAGGGTGCCAAGTTTGGGGGATTTTAAAGAGTTCAGAGAAAGTATGGCTACAATCCAATGGCCTCATAATTCAAAAGACAAGTTCTCAAGAATGAAATTCTGAAAACATAAGCCAAGATAACTCTGATAAGGATGAAAAGGAGAACCAATTAAAAAGCCCCAGGGGGGATGCACAGAAACTCACTG